TTTCCTGAGTTTTCATAATTTTTTTTTCTAAACAAAATATTGCCTTCACAAAATTAGTCACAGATAGGATAGAAGAAGAAAGCGGAAAAATCTATTCCAGAAATTCTGTAACAGAGAGATATATGGTAATAAAACAGAGCATTCTTTTTCATTCAACTACAGGTGCTTGATTCATTTCTCCTTTGAATATAGTTATATCCCATTAATTCTAATATATATATTTTTTATTTTTTTTAGTACACCTTTAATTCTATATTAGTTTGTCAAATTTCTAATCTCTTGACCTTATGTTGAATTTTAATTTTTGCTTCTGAATTAGTATATTGATCGAGTTGTTCATGTTTTAAATTCTTCCTTTTGTATGCTTTCATTTCATTTTATTTTATTTATTTTCTTTTTTGTGGATTTCATACGGATTTTGTGAGTATCAAGTGATATGTAGTGATTTGATAGTCTTCATGTTCTCCATGCTTCCCTGACAGAAATTTATTTTTTTGGAATAGTTGAAGTTGTCCGTACTTTTATATGATGGTCCAAGTTATGCCCTTATTATTTTTAGCATATATATATACTTTTTAAATTTTTTCTCTCTATTAAATCATGTTATCGAGATGCAGTTTGTTTGGTCTTGAAAGGGATTAATTTTTTTTTTTAAATTGTTAATAAAGTAATCAGCCAAAACTTGCTTAAGGCAATGAAATTTTATTTGAATTATTAAGGAATTTGGTTGGCTGACGCGTGCACTCTTTTTTTCTTCATATTGATTATTTGTTTGGGTATTCATTTGGTATGGTACGTTCGGTATTGTCTCCATGAGGAAAATTATTACTTTTGATTTGTTTACCATATCTTAAATGAATACTTGATTGTCTTTTAACTATTGGACGAGAAGCTCAATACTTCCCTCCTTGTAAAAGCTTCAAGTAGGAATGCAAAATTTAGAATTTCCTTTGAATTAAGGTAAATTTAAACTTTTTGAATTAATTAAAAATACCTTAAATTAAAATATGTAGTAAGTATATTTTATATTGAAATTGTGGGATCCCTAACATCTTCCCATGCTTAACCAACCTTCTGACTCTAAATAAATTTAGGTGATTTATCCTATCTTATTTGAAAAGATGACGGCTTCATCCATATTCGCACATCAACAACAACCATGTAATAACATGGTTACATGTTTTATAATTTTTAATTAACTTAATTTAATTAACTTAATTGAAAAAAGATGCAGCTCTAAACCGTCATTTATACAAACGAAAGCTCTACCTTTAAAATCCTCTGCCCTCTTGAGTGACAATAACTTGGGTTTATATGTATTGATTATCTTATTATTACTATCATTTTATTATATATAATATTAATATGTTTTGTAATTATGTTTTTTATAATTTGATGTTTAAAATTTTTAGCTGATCAAAACATATTTAAACTAATGTTAAAAACAGACCAATTTGACTAAATCTCACAAATCCAATTCAAGTTGGATTATTTGATCACAATATAAAAGTAAATTGAATTGATTTAAAAATATTATTAATTAAATAAATTAATTTAATTTTAAAAATATTAAAATTTGATTTGATTTATATTGTAAACATTCCTAATAGTAAATCTAATTTATTTAGGAGTTCTGCCAATAACTATCATTATGAAAGCATTTTTGGACTGTTAGTTGCACGACTCCATATCAATGCATTGGGAGCAGCAGTCACAAAGAACCAACAAAAATTCAAACACATGAAGCCACACATAAAGGTTTCAACTTGCAATCATGTTAGTATTCTTTGATCTTGTAGCACTATTCTTTAAAAATATATAACATAATTTTTTAATTTAGATATATAATGGGTACTAATTATATTT